CGAATGATGGAATGGTTATGGCAACAAAAATCTAGAGTAAACTGGACCATTAATGGGGACAAAAATACTAAGTATTTTCATCTTATGGCTAGCAGCAGAAGGAGTAGAAATTCTATTTCTACCATCACAGTAGAAGGAGAAGTGTTTGAGGAGCCAGAGAAGGTAAGGTATGAGGTTGTACAACATTTTAAGAGGCAGTACACTGAAAGGTGGGAAAGAAGACCAGTTTTGGGTGGTGCCTTTAAATCAGTTTCAGAAAGTCCTGCGTTCCATGCTCTAGAAGCTGGTTTTTCTGTAGATGAAGTTAAGGCAGCTGTTATGGAGTGTAGTGGTGATAAGGCTCCAGGCCCTGATGGGTTTAATTTGTTGTTTTTTCAGAAATTTTGGAAGATAGTTCATCTTGAGGTTATGCATTTCTTGCAGGATTTTCATGCTTATAGCAAGCTTTCCTATGGTTTTAACAGCTCATTTATCACTCTTATACCTAATTCTGATAACCCCATTGGACTGTCAGATTATCGGCCTATTGGTTTGGTGGGTAGTAGTATGCACAAGATTCTCTCCAAGGTTCTGGCTAATAGACTTAAGAGAGTTCTTCCTGCTGTTATTGGTGAAACACAATCTGCTTTCTTGGGAGGGCGAAGTATATTGGATGGTGTTTTTATTGCTAATGAAATTGTTGATGGATGGAAAATATCCAAAAAAAGAGGTGTTATTATCAAACTAGACTTCGAGAAAGCTTATGGTTCAGTTAATTGGGCATTCTTATTCTCTATGTTATCTAATTTTGGTTTTGGGTCAAAGTGGGTATCATGGATGAAGGAGTGTATATCTACAGCAAGGATGTCTGTTTTAGTGAATAGCTCTCCAACTGAGGAATTTTCACCACAGAGAGATCTCAGACAAGGTAATTCTTTGTCTCCTTTCTTATTCAACATAGTGGCTGAAGGTCTGAATATTTTACTGAACAGGGCAAATGAAAAAGGCATTCTCAAAGGAGTAAAAGTTGGTGTAAATGAGGTTATGATATCTCATCTTCAATTTGCTGATGATTCCATAATATTTTGTGAAGCAGATATGGATCAAATTGTACTCACAAAGAGGATCTTAAGATGTTTTGAAATCCTGTCTGGCATGAGAATTAATTTTCACAAGAGTGTGGTGTGTGGAGTTAGAGTGGAGGAGGATACTCTGGCATCTTTCGTAGATATTTTGAATTGCAAGGTTCATGGCCTGCCACTTAAATTTTTGGGGTTGCCATTAGGTGCTAATCTAGGTAGGAAGTCTACTTGGAAGCCAGTTTTGGATAAAATAAGATCTAGGCTGTCTGGGTGGAAGCGAAGGTTCCTTTCCTTTGCAGGTAGATTAACTTTGATTAAGTCCGTTTTATCTAGCCTTCCTATCTATTATCTATTATCTATTATCTACCTTTGTTTAAAATGCCTCTTGGAGTGGTTAGAGAGATTGAAAGGTTGGAAGCTTCTTTCCTCTGGGGAGGGATTGGTTTAAAGAGGAAAGTTCATTTGGTGAAGTGGGCTGAAGTATCAAAAAATAGAAATCAAGGTGGGTTGGGGATTAGGAGAATCAAGGATGTCAATGACAGTTTGATTCTTAAATGGTGGTGGAAATTTCGTAGTGAGGTAAATGCCCTTTGGAGAAGAGTGTTGTGCAGCAAGTATATGATTGGGGAGACTAATTGGATGCCACCAGTGCTCTCATCATCTATTCACTCTAGAATCTGGAATGATGTTCTTGCAACTGCTGGTCGTAATCCACCTCTTGTGGAGTTCTTTTTGGGGAAGTATCAGATAAAGGTTGGTAATGGGTGCAGAATCAAGTTTTGGTATGATAAGTGGGTCGGTGATAGATGTTTTAAAGACAAGTTTCCTAGACTTTTTAGTCTGTCAAATGATAAGGATGGTACACTATCCTGTTATTCAGTAAGAAAATCCAGTGAGGAGGAGTGGGATTTATCTTTCCGAAGGGATTTATACGATTGGGAGAAGGAGGAGGTAGCTAGTATGGCTGCAATTTTAGGGGTGGCTCCATCTTTGAGGGTTGATGTAGAAGATTATCCTATTTGGAATGGTTCTCTTGGTGGTAGTTTCAAGGTTTCTGATCTTTATCGATTCAGTGATGCTAGTATGGGCCCTCAACTCAAAATTTATAAGTTTGTGTGGAATAATGGTATTCCCCCCAAAGTCCAATTTTTCTGGTGGTTGGTTTGGAGGAATAGAGTTAAAATCGGGGATTTTTTACAACATATCGGTGTCTTTAATAGTAATGCATCTATCTTATGTGCCTTTTGCAAAAATGAAAATGAATCTGCTTCTCACGTTCTATTACACTGTCCATTTTCTTGGCAAGTTTGGTCTAACCTAATGCTATGGTGGGGGTGTGTTTGGGTGGTGCCAAGGACAATTAATTGTCTATTCATTGGTGGATAGGTTGGGATTATAAGAAATTGGTTAGGAGATTGTGGAGAGCCTTACCATTTATTGCTCTATGGTCCATTTGGAAGTTAAGAAATGATTGTATGTTTAATGGAGCACAACCATGTGGGTTTGAGTTATGTAAGACAATTAAGTTCAGATTTGCTATGTGGGTTAAAGCATCTTCTAAGGGATTCATGTACTCTACCATGGAATTAATTAATAATCTGGATCAGATTAAGCAATGCAGCTGAGGTGGATCCAGTTTGGAATTTTGCTGTGTGGATTCAGTTTTGGATGCAGGTTACTGGTCTGTGTTGGGCCCAGAGACTTGGTTGGTTTTGCTGATGTCTGAGATTGCTATGGTCTGGGCAGTTAATTTGAGGTGCTCTTAGTCTTCGGAGGTTGGGTTGAGGGGCTAGCAATGCGATATGTTGCTAGAATCTGGTCTGCAATTGTGGTGCTCTGTTTGCTAAGGTTTATGCTGCTGATATGTTAGATGACTGCTGTGTTTTGCAGATGGTGGAGTGGTTTGGCCTACAATTGGTATGTTGCTTTGTTGTGGCTATAAGGTCTGAGGCTGGGGAGTGGTAATGCTAATGCCCCTTATGTTATGCTTTTGAGATCTTGAGTCAGATGCTGCTTTGCTTGTGAGAGGATCTGCAGGTGGATGGCTACTATTTTCTGGTGTATGAATGGCTTACGGTGGCTGCTGTGGACTGCTGTATATTAAGCTTTATTTTGCTGGACTGCCTTACTCAGTGGGTCTGCACCAGCAGATTGGTGGTGGGTGCATTAATCATGTTTTGTTGTGGTAATTTTACCAGTCCACCATGTTGCTGCAGAGTAGATGAAATTTAATTGCCATGATAGGTTCAGTGGGATGATAGGAGTTATGCTGTTATGTTCAAATTTCAGTTGCCAAGTTCAAATTTTGTTTTATGGCTGCTATGCTGTTGTGGCTGCTAAACTAGTACACCAGTCCTGGTTTCTGATGGGTTGCATTTCATTGGATCTGGATTGGCTCTAAAGTTCATTTTGGTGAGTTAGTGAGTTGGCTATGGTCCTTGGTATGGTTTGTTATGTTGTTGGTGTGTTGGTCCCTGCTCAGATAGGATCAATCTCAGATATGATGTGGCTCTAGGTTCAATCTCAAATTTGGTGTGTTATACTGTGGCTCTAGTTTTAATCTCAGATATGATGTGGCTCTAGTGGTTGTTTTTTGGCTGCATTGAAGGACTGCTTGGTTGCTATTGTTTGTTTACTTTTCCAAGGTCACTAGCCAGGTTTGTTTCTGGTTTTAAGCCAGGTTCAGTTCTGTTGCTGGTATGAGGTTGGTCTGTTATTGGACTGTTGGATTTCTTTGTTGTTCGCTACTTTGTTTCTTTTCTTTTTGGGTTTGGTTCCTCACCAAACTCCTGGGGTGAGCTAGCTTGCTGCTCTTCCCCTCATTTTTTGATGTAATCTCTGCTTTTGTATGGTTTTTGCATCAATGAAGGTTCTCTTTTGCTGATAAAAAAAAAAAAAATATACCAAAAACCCTACATAAGTCGGTCAATGTAGTCCATCTCGTTAACAAAAGTGAGAATATGAATTTGTTACATTAATCGTGATGACATGAGAGTTATTTAACTTATATTAAACGAAATATTAAAAAGTTATTTACAAATTAATTTAATGAATGAGTGTTGGAATAAATAAAAAAAAATTCTTTAGAAGAGTCTCGAACCTCAACTTGAAAAACAAAACGTAAAAGAATTGCAAATTGGTTTCAAATCAACATTTAATAAGGTAAGATTCTCGTATATTATTACTTTTAGATTATTTTTTCAATAATTTCACAGTGTCCATATATTTTGTTCTAAAAGTGTCCAAATTTGTGATTACACGTTGTGATAAATAAAATGTAATAAAATATATATATATATATAATCATCATCTTTTTGTCTACATTTTTTTTTTCCACAAAAGAATTTTTTTTTCTTTATTTTTATTGTTTTGTTAAAAGAAAACAAATATTTTATTATTATATGAAGTTTTTTTGAAAAGCAAATCAGGATCCAAAACATATTAATGACATATTGCTTCATCCCTATCAACCACAAATAATTTAAAAGAACAAAAAAAAAAAAAAAGTAAAGAAAACCAAAAACTAATATGGTATGCAAATTCAACAACTTCCTCTATGGTTTTCCACATAGAACAAAAAGCAAATAAAAATCAGACAATATAACTACAAAATCACAAGAATTTCCATATCGCAGGAAAAAAAAGAAAAATCCACAAGATCACTCTGCTAATGTATGCTTCTTGCCCTTGAACGGTTCAAACTTCTTTTCATTCTCTGAACTTTCATCATTCTTTGACACCGTTGCTGGTTTCTCCAAATTCTGGACTTCATTGGATCCAAACACAAGCTTTCCCATTCGCTTTCGAGCCCCAACTTTCGCTCCATCCTCCATTCTTACCTTCTTTGAATTCAGAATGGCTGTAGAACGGTTGTAGAACTGCCATCTATGTGCCTCGCCGTGCCAGTAAACTGTCTAAACTCAGTTTCTTTTTCCTCGTTTACAATCTCCGATCGAACTGATTTTCGGGTTCAGTACAATCTAAAGGAATCGCAAAATCGACCTCACAGTCTGTTTCAATCACGCTTATTACAAAACCAGGCTTAGTTTGAACCACATCGATGTAAAATTTCTTATTGTTGTGCATTAGCATGATAGTATCGCTGGTGCTCAAACAAGAAAAGTTGCGAAGCTTCGCTTCCAATAAAGCTTTAGGGTTTGAAAGCTCGATAAACTCCTTCTTATGAGGCTGCAACTTTATGTAAGTCCCTTTTGGAAGGCTCGCACTCTTGATCAGAACGACATCTCCTTCCTCGAGTCCCATGATTTTCATCATCCATCGTGGCGTGTAGATGTTGCCTTCCTCGGCGGTGAACTCTAAAACTCCACAGTGAGAAACTCGTCCGGTTTTAGGGTTTAGGGTTTCCAACAACATAGGGTAATCGATCTTGAGGCTCGTGGGCCGGTCGAGAGAGGAAAGAGGCATTATAATCTTGTCTCCGTTGTCTAAGTTTGGCATGTCGGTGTGGTGGCAGAAGTAATGTTGCTCGTACGAGTCGTGATTGTCCATGGCGCGGTGAATTTGTTTGAAGAAGAGAAACCCTACAAATATGAGAAAGTGACCTGAGTTTTGGTGAGGGAATTAGTAAGAAACACTCGGTATATATATAGGGTAAGTGTTTTGTTGAGTTTTGGAAGTCCCATTCCTAGTCTGTTTCAGTAAGTTTAGATTGATCTGAGAAGGGAAACTCTCCGTTCTTACATAAATGAATAATATTAGTGATTATGAAAAAAATATTATAAAATATATTACGAAGATTTTTGATCATTTGATTAGTGTGTGGTGTTTTATTGTATGTATAATCTAAATGTAGATATTCTTTTATGATATATTTTTTTTATGATTCCTAACAATACTCTACATAAAATTATAGAGTAGGCCTTCTATCTAGTCCGCGTTCGCAGGCTACATTATTCAGTTGGGCAAATGAGCAAATCATAGGCCTTATGACGATAATTTTGTCCCCATAGATTGTCTATAAAAAAAATTAAGTTATTCGATAATTAAAACCATATTACTTCATTGCATTTGTTTTTAAAAATAATATAGACAGTTTATTTTTAAAATTATTCTTATCATTTATTTTTCCTAAAGGAACTATGAAAAAAAAAAATAGTTACAACAATCAGATTAATATGATTTTTCGTATGAATGTATTTTATACATAAAAACTTACAATTTAAAATGAATTGAATTATTGAAATGGGGTTGTGGTGGGCCTATAAAGCAAATCGGATAGTCCAATCCACAAAAAAGTGGACAAGAGGGAAGCTCTGCTCATACAAAAATAACACAAGAACAATATGACAATAATTTTGTAGATAGAAAGTATCTTCACTGTGTTTTGTTTGAGCCACATTATTTTATACAAATATTTGTATGAATTTTTTTATTTTTATTCAATCTAGGAAGAAAAAGCCTAAGTCAAGAGAAGATTTTCACATGTATGTGAAATAAAAAAGTGAGCCCCACATGTAAACTCCCCTACATGAATCTGGCACCTTTCCCTCTCATTCATATCTTATTTGTGAATTTTGGGGGGAGAATGACTGAAAAGTACATTTAAGAAGATACGTGTATCAATAAGTCTTTTTCACTTTTTGATGCACTGAAAAGTTTTATTTACTTTCTAATCGTTACCATAAAATTCTAATTTTTTTTTTCATTTCTTGGGAGTGTTTTTATAAAAAAAAAAAATTCCTTGTTTTCACATTTCAAAAAATATTTTTTAGAAAATTTTACTTTCTTATTTTTTGTGTTTTTTTGTTTTTACTGAATTTTTTTAATATTTTAAGTAATTTTTTTACTTTTTAGATAATCCTAACATAAATACACCTAAAAAGTAAAAAAATTGTAAAAAAAATCTTTTAAAAATTCACAAAATACCAAAAATATAAAAAATATAAGAATTCAGTATATTTTTTGTATTTTTATGTATTTATTAATTTTTTAAAATATTTTTCACAAATTTTTTACTTTTTAGATATATCTAAGTAATGTGCATCTAAAAAGTAAAAAAAAAAGTTTAAAATTTAAAAAATATTCACTAAAAACAAAAAAACACGAAAACCAAAAAAGTCAATTTTCAAAAAACTTAATCTAAAAAACTCAAACCAAAGACACTAATTATTTTTTAACGATAGATTTAGAAAATTGTTATAAAAAATGACACTAATTGTAATTCTTTGATGGCAAATTTTAAAAATTGTCACTAATTATTAATTTTTATAAACATATTATAACACGAGATGTGAGTAATGAACTCATTTATTTATTATTCCAATCACAGCTGAATTGGAAAATACTAATATATTCGGTCAAGTTGATGCAGATAACATCCACAATTTGGTTACGGTTTTCAGAAACCAGTCCAACTTGAAAACGGCCCATTCCAATCTAATACTTGTCTGGGTTGGGCTATATTGGGACAATGGTTTTGGGCCCAATGATGAGTTCGATCTGGGTTGCTCATCGGCCGAACCCAATCATGCTTAGATGGATCAGATGACGTGCTTGGGCTGTATGTTGTACCAAATTGTTTGGTTTCCTTCCACTGTTTCAAAACCTTTCAATTTTTCTATTTAATTTAATTTAATTAATTACTTTTTTTCTTTTTCTTTTTTTAACATTATGTGGGAGGTGAAATTTTGAGCACGAGACACGTATGCACTAAGATCAGTTTCAACAATTATAAATGTCATGACCCAAACCCGCCCATATGGATTAGAATCATAACCGGGCAGTATTCACGAGATTACTAGCGGCTCCAGTCAGAAATTGAGTCATATTTAATAATAGGGGGCCAAAATTGCGGAAGCAAAATTTACAAAGATTGTCCAATGAGCTGTGCATACATAACTTAACCAAAACATTCTCATATTCATGTAATAACTCACACCATATGAATATTCATATCAAGTATGTAATACTTACGTCTAGGATCATTCAAAGCCAGTATTAACAAAAACCAAGGTTATACACGGGGCTGGTCATACATGATCACAAAAGACCAAAAGTAAAAGATCAAATGGCGAGTAAATCAAAAGTAAGGCCCCTTATAGGAGGCAACCTTGGTTGATCTCTCAAAACTTGGTTTCTCATTGCAAACTGGGACTGGGGTTGGACATCCTGCTGCTCACCTATATACATAAATATAAACAGTGAACTAACGCCCTGTAAATAATACCAAAAACAAAGGAGTTCATGAACAAGATTCTTATAATCACAGTTCATCCTTACGCTTAGTGCTCGATGTTAAAGCAAAGCGACCTCAGGCCCTTTACATCATATCTCAAGTACAAAATGACCTTGGGTCCATATAACATACTGAACGACCTCGGGTCCATCATAGGCAAAACGACCTCGGGTCCAACTTACATATTAAATGACCTTGTGAAGCCCCTGAAAAATATATTTTCTTTAAAAACCCTTATGTTTGAATTATTTCCTTAAAAGCCCTTCAGTTTCTTAAATTATTTTGAATCTTGCCGGTTAGCATTTTTAATTTTTATCGGAAAAGGAATATCCTAGCCGAATTAGATTCCTTAGCTTAATTTAATTTAATTCTACATAAATAAGGTTCCAATACATGAGTTTAATTCCAAGCCCTCACTTCTTTTATTAATTTCAAGATTTGCCCCAAACTAGTACATGTACTTTTTATACTATAGTACCACCAAATCAATTTGTAGATATATATATATATATACATTGGGAATATATTCATAGTACTCATATATTGAATAAAATATACCCCATTTCCCTTCCCCATGGCCGGCCAACCTAGGAGAGTGTGAGAGATCAATTTTCAAAGCTTGTAATCATAGCAATCTAGAAGCAAAAGTACCAAGTACCCCTAAATCTAGGGATTGTGTCCCCAACCTAGTTCCATTCCAACTAGAGACTAACTAAATCATGTCTAATCACATCATTAAGTCCCCTAATCACTCCCTATTCCATTAGAATCCAAGTAAATCCAAACTTTTCAATCCAATTCCAACTAATGGGCCTTCGTGTCTTTTCACACCAAATTTGCCTATATATACAACCACCCATTTAGAATAGCATACACAAACAACACACACACACACACACACACCCACATTCGGCCTACAGGAGAGAAAGGAGAGCAAGAGAAAAATCTTGAGCGGGAGAGGAAGAAAGATGAGAGCAATCTTGTTCAACTTGGCCTAGTCTAGCAAGTAAGCCACAACACAACTCTCTCTTTCATTTTCCTTTTTCAAATACATGCTCTTAAGGGTTCTAAACATTGTTTTCAGATGTATTAATGATTTCCTTGTGTTAAAAATGAAAAGAGTTGAGCCATGATTCTACTATTCTTCTAGTTTCCCTTAATCGGTACAAAACTATCTTTTTCATATCAATTTCTCAAACTTTCCAAAGGCACACCTTCAAGATAAATTTCTGAGTCTAATATCTATTATTTAGAATGTTTTCATCATACAAAATAAATGAAGAAAATTTTCCCTTAGTGGATCTCTCTTCTCACAAATCCTCTTGCTTTTGAGTATTATGCATTAAAAATCTGTTTTTACAGCTAACTTTCAAAAATTCTAGAAAAATGTAGATAAATATTCTGGACCTCATTTTTATACCAAAATATTCCTTAAGAAGTTAGTTTTCAAGAAAAATTGGTTTCATGGAAAAAAAGTGAGCGATTTGTAAGAAAATCAAATTTTCGTAACGGTCGACGAATCTGGACAGCGCTGGAGTGTTTCTTAAATAACTAAAAATCTAGAAAAGCTATCCCATTTCCGAAATATGTTCTGGAAACTAGATTAAATTCTCTACGAACCATAGGAAGGCCGGGTTCGGTAAAAATCTAAAATAGCCTTTTTTATTTTAATCTTTAAATGGTACTGAATCTAGAAATTTAGTTTTGCATTGGTGTTTTATACTCTTGTGTTCATGAATATGCTTATTAGTTTATGATCATGTCTTGGTATGATATTGCATGTGTTATGGTTATGTTCCTTATCTTCTTCATTTTTATGATGCATGCTTACGTGAATATTACTATCTTCTTAAGTTGGTCTAACCTTAATTTAAAACATTTAACTCAACGGAAAACTTAATTGGGATGGTATTGGGTTTTCGATCACTTGAATAATGAAGAGATGATAATGTGTTATGTATGGATTGTTGGGATGCGTTCCCTATTTGGAAGTTAAAGTCTTGTGCAAGTGGTTTTCGGAACTCTTGAACAGAGAAGTTGTATTCGGACCATAGGTATTTGGTGTGAGGAGGGATTTGGGCAAGGCCCATTATTACCGTCTCTTTTGAGGCCCTGCGGTTGGCGCTACGTGGTACATAACCGTTGGTAGGCATCCGAGGTAAGGTCTGCAACAAAGCAGCAAAAGAGGGGGCATACCGAATAATCCGCGTCCGATTCTTGTGATTGGGAGGACGAAATCTCTTTGGGAGATTTCTAGTTTACTAACGTCTAACTTTATAACCCTTTGTTGTTT